GGGAGGGCCGGGGGCCGAGGTTAGGGGGCCCGGGAGGTGCGGGCCGGGGCTGAGGCGGCGGGGCTGGGGCCTGCGGGGGTCGGGGAGGAGGGGGCAGGTCTGAGGGGTCAGGGGTTCCAGCGGGAGGGGCCGGGGCTGCGGGCAGGAGGGAGAGGAGGGGAGCAGGTCTGGAGTCTCAGGGGGCTGCCCGGGACCCAGGGGACTAGGGGAAGACGGCGGAGGGCCGAGGGTCGGATGGGGGCGAAGTAGGAGAGGGGCCCTGCGGGGAGGGGGTCGGGATCGGGGGGTTAGGGGAAGGAGGTGGAGGGCCGAGGGTCAGAGGGGGGCCCGGTGCCTTGTGGGGAGGAGGTCAGGGATCTAGGGGAAGGAGGTCGGGGCCCAGGGCCTTAGGGGCGGGGGATGCAGGGCCGAGGGGGAGGGGTTGGGGGTGCGATGGGGTTGAGGTAGGAGAGGGGCCCTGCGGGGAGGGGGTCGGCATCGGGGGTTTAGGGGAAGAGGGTGCAGGGCCGAGGGGGAGAGTCTAGGAGTACGAGGGGTCGAGGTAGGAGAGGGGCTGTCCCTGGCGCCCGGGCGGGGCCTTGTAGCCCCGGCTCCTGCGCCCGCACCTGGCCCGCACCTCCCGGCAGGTTTTGCAATCGGGTCAATGGAAATGCAGCGACACGCGCAGCTGCAGGCGGCTGAGAGGCTCTCTATTTGGAGCAGCCCCTCCTCTGGGTGTTTTGGAAATCACCAGAAAGGTGCTTCTGGGTTCTCTGTTTCTTCGATTTGGATCGCCTGAATGTTGCAGCGGGAGCTTGATCCCCGCTGGAGGTCTCGGGTGGGGAGAGTGCAGGGCTTCCTCCGCCGCTGTGTGGACGTGTCGGGCCTGTTGGGGAGGAGTCCATCTTCCGCTGAACGCAGCTCTGGCGGCGGCCCCAGTGAGCGCTCCCTCCCCGTGATGCTCGCCTGAGCTCAGGGTCGACTGGCCCCACGGTGCTGTGTCCGGTTAATCCCCCAGGTCCTGATCGCGTGATTTCAGCCTGGCCCCCGGCTGACCGAGGGCTGGGAAGGGCGCTGGCGGTGGGCCCTGCTCCCTGTGTCTGGCCGCGGGGGGAGGAGTCCCTGCCCCACTGCATGGAGGCCATCCTGTCTCTCTCTTCCCTGGTTGGAAAAGTGCTCCCAGATCCTCAAGGAGCGAAGAAGCATCCTAAAGGCGACTTTGAGACACTCTAGAAGAAGGAGCCAAGGGGGTGCAGAGTCCTTTTTGATACTCTGTTCACCAGTAACTGGAAGTTACCCCCACCCCCTAGATGACTTGTAGTGGAAGCATTTTGTTGGACTTATTCTTAAAACACTTAAGTGAACGTAATTGGTGATTCAGACCTTTGGTCGGTGCCATGCAGTAGGTGCTCAGAAGGGGCATGGTTGAGTGAGTGAGTCATTGTGAGTGCCGGGTACTGCCTCATGCAGTCTGCCAATGTCCTGGGGCAGCCGGGAGCTGGCTCAGGGTCCTATCAGAGCTCTGGTCCTTCCCTTTTGTCAGTGTGCAAGCAAGTGCTTTTAGTAAACTGAGTGAGTGTGCCCAGGCAGGGGTGGGCGGGGTTTCCTCTGAGTAATCGTGGTATAGGGAGTGGGCCTCAGATGGCTTTGTGTTCTCGCTGGTTTTCTGCTCCACTGCAGAGAGAGGGGAATGGAAAGCTAGTTCTGCATGGTGGGTTTTATCATTTCAAACACTCTCCTATGGAGGAGTTTTTCACTCTGTTTTTACGGCAGTGCA